ACGAGGGAAGATAAGGCAGAACCAGGGAGGGCCAGTAAGGATCCAGGTTCAGATATATGAAACAGGATGAATGAGTGAAGCAGATGTTGTCAGTGATGGTGGATCTTTTTTCTTTTTTTTCCCAGAAATGTACAGACTCTGGGTGCTGTGACACAACTGATGTTTTTTGAGCCCAAATTTAACTCGATATAGTCCATCCATAATATGGCAATATACCATATTATATTCATAATATAATTATACTGTGGTATTTTTTGTTTCAGTTGTTTTTTTTAACAATGCATAATTATATTGTTTTTTTATGTCTCAGGTTTAAGTGTTGCTTCCACTAAAGAGCATTTCAAAGCTTGAGTTGTCATGACAAGGTTCAAAGTACAGTAAGCAAGGCAGTGAAATTAAGGTTGGACTCGGCAGATTGTACCAAACTGCCAACAAAAGTACATATACAGTATACATATATATATGTATATATATATATACATATATATATTAGGGCTGGGTGATAAAACGATAGCAATGATTATCTCAAAATTATTTTCCTCAATAGAAACATAAAAAATGTCTGATAAATATTCAATATAATTAAGGCTTATGGCATGCCCACAAATGAATCACGAATGGCCAATCATGTCGCAGGAATAGAGGTCCACATTTTGCAAGTTAGTTCAGTTCAGTTCAGTTCAGACTTTATTTATCCCCCATGGGCAATTCATTTGTAGCTTCCCGGTCCATAGGATGCACAGTTACAGGTATGAATACAGGCCAGCACGTGACATTATTTACAGATTATACAGATGATATTTGCAGGGGCTGACAGGCAACACCACAAACCTGTTTCATCATTTGGAACAATATCACCCATTAGGACACACAGAAAGTAAGAAATTACAGGACCAACCGAGTATTAGTGGACCCTCGACGAGCACCAGGCCCGTACCCAGTGCATATCTTCTTGGGTCTATTTTTTAAATTTTTTGCTGTATCACATTGCAGAACTTAATTGTCTATTTACATTGTCGAGTAAAAAGGACTGAAAAGGATATTGATTTTAATCATGCATACTTTGTTTGTACCACAGAGTTTTTAAATGTTCTGTTGTTTGGCAAGTGTTTGTCATGTTCTTACTAAATAGAACAGTTTAAAACCACAATTGACTGACTGGTTTCTTGAACTTTCACTCAGATGCAAAAACCAGCCTTTAAACCTGAAAAAAATAACAATGTGGACTTTATTGTGATAAATATCGATATCGACTGATATGGAAATTTTTATTTTTAACTCACCTGTTTCCATTTTATTAAAGACTAAAGTTATGGAGAATTGAGGGCGTGGCCTCTTTGAGTGACCAGTGGGTGAGTGTATACACCAAAGTTTCTGCCCCACACACGCCTCTCCTCTTTGAATATTTTTGTATTAGCTGGGAGCTAGTGGAGGAATCAGACACTGCCAAGATGGCGACAGTGGAGCAGCTCACTCTGAGCTTCAGAAACCTGTGGGTGTAGCAATACAAACAAAAACAAAAGTGTTGCGTGTCATGAGTGAGAGTTCAGTTCATCAGGTTTCAGTCAGAGCCATAGGACATGAATTAGCAGCTGTGTGTGTGTGTGTGTGTGTGTGTTCTCTTGTGTCCACCTGTTGTTCAGTGTGTTGCTCTTCTTATATGTTGGTGGACACAGTTGTTATTTTGTATTGGGGGGGTCAAATCTTTAGCTTTATATTAAGTTGTATTTCCATCTTACAAAAGAAGCTGCCATGCAACAGACCACATATTATATAGAATAATGTATGTTTTGAATTCAATGTTTAAAAGGTGAAAAACCTTCCAATATAATGAAATATCTCATAGAATAAAGAGGAAAAAGCAGAAGTAGAAAACATAGATTTATGACCTGCTCTGGTTTGAGCTGTGTGAAGTTGGTGAGCTGTGCGAAGAGGCCTTCTACATGTGCTTGTTATCATGAAAGAAAAAAAACGCCTTTGTTGATGAGACCTGATAAACAGTTTGATTAAAGTTTGTTTAATTAAGTTTTCTTAGGAAGGAAACTTAATTGTGTGGAGACAGTGTAGTTTCCCCTGAAGGCCTGCTTCACAAGGACTTTTTCTTTAGACTGTGCTTTATTGGTTCTGAAGACTTATCTTTATTGGTTTCTGACAATTTGTCTTTTACTCCCTCACACACACACACACACACACACACACACACACAGGATCATCCCACACTCTCTTCCTGTCAGGCTACAGATCATTATGATTGATCCGAGCTGCTGTCCTCAGCTCACTGCTCACTGTGACCGTCAGCTTCTCTCCCTCTGAAATCTATACGATGGAGCTGGACATGGATCTAGTCGTCCCTTACTGCCACATTTGCCTCGTTGTCGTTTGGATCTGTGGCCTGATGGAACTAATGTTGAGGTTTGTTTCAGTCTGGAGACCTGGCTCCAGCACAAGGAGCTGGTTTCACAGAGACATGTCAGACTGGTCTGTGGTGTTGGTCCAGTCTTCAGTCTGATGTTAGTCAGACTGGTTCACTAAAATAAAGACTGACTCATTTTGAGACAGAAACATTAGACACCTTACCTCCAGACTAACCCAGGCCTAATACCAATGTTACCATGGTAACAATCAACGACACCTGCGCTGACAAGTAGCACCCAACAACATAAAACATGGCTCATAATTTGTGGTTACTAACATTGTTATGAAGAGAGCAACGTGAAGTGAAAGAGAGTTTTTTTCCAAATATTAATTTTTATTTTTTTTTATTTTTGTTTATTGTTTTACTCAAGTAAAACGTCTTGTAACTGTTGAATTCTTCCTAAAGACAATCATGTTCTGCTGAGGGTAAACAGAGCTGAGCGGTTGGATGTGGTTCCTCGGACGACCATTTTTTTAATTTTGAAAAAAGTCTTAATTCACCCAGAATTCATTGTACCACAGCCCGTCTTAAGATACTCAAGGATAAAAAGAGGAATTTAGACTCAGTCTATCTGAAGTCTGACTCTTTGTTGTATCGAAGAGTCAAAGTCTGTCTTTGTGAAACCAGGTCCTGACCAGACAGGGGGCCCCAGCTTCTGGATGGAGGTCTGGATAGTGGACTGGTCAGTCTATTAAAAACCAGGCTTTAATGAGTCAGTATGAGTTTGACACATATTCTGAATATTAAAAGCCTCAGTTAGAAACTTAACACCTCATGCACATTCAGTATCTTCACTAAGTGTTTCTCCATGTGACGACACCAGTGAGTAGTCGTACCTGTTAGTCACTATGAGCTGCACCTGTGTCATTCATCATGAATTTGATCCTTTGTTCATATAAATGTTGCAGCCAGTGACACAGGAAGTTGCTAGGGGAGCGTACTGTGACTTGAAACAACTCTATTGTTCAGACAAAGTGAAGCCTGTGGCATCACTCCAGGCAGCGAGTCAAGGATGGAGTTCAAATGTCTTTAATGATGAGGGAATATCTCAGTGAGAAACACAGGAAACACAGAGCTGCATCTGTAAAAAATATCTTTCATTCTGATCATTAATATACAAAATATTGATCAAAATAAAAACACAGCATGTTAAAGGTCCAGTTCTTCTGTATTTTATTTGAAGTGTTGATCCGTAAGAAGATATAATTAAACCACCTCAGTGTAGTTTTACATTTCACGACAGATCAGTGAGCCGATCAGAACAGAGGAGGTTCTGAGCCTCTCTTCTGATTGGTTCACTGTTTTCTGAGTGATCTAATAAAATATAGCAGATTTCAGGTAAAACATTCACAGAACCCAAATCCTGCAAGGTTGGATGGTGGGCTGGGCTTGGGATACAGCTTAGTTGTGACATCACAAAATTCCAGAAGTCCTGACGGCTGGTTTTAGGTTTTAAGGCTCAGTTTGTGAATACAGGCTGTGTGTATTTCTCTGTGGACTGAGGCTTTGATACTTTCACTGTATCGATATAGAACCTAGACTTTCTAGGAGCTTTAATGTTGCAGTCTGGTATGTTTATCAAAGTTGTATTACTTTTCCAAAGCTCCTATCAGTTCAGCTTGTTTTAATGGTGTGTAACTGAAGGTCACATGACATGCCTGTCATAAAACATCCTGATGACACACTCAGCACTCAGTCTTTTTGTCCATGACTTTAACAACAGACAATAATCTCCCTAAAAAGTGCTCATCTCCAATCAGCTGAAACTACAAATCTCACTGAGAGAGCAAACCATGGAACTATTTACCATTCTTAAACTATTTCCATGTCCAGGCTTTTCAATAAATCAAAACAGATGATAACAACTGAAAAGGAGAAGTGTATTGAAAGTGAAGTTTACTTCTGTCACCATGTATTTTAAGGCAGAACATCAGCGAATGGTTTCAGCCTTAATGAGCGAACACAAAACGGACGAGTGATCCTGACATCACTGTCTGTGGCTCATCCCTCATGAAGTGGAGTAATGAATGACTGCAGGTGTTGCCTTTTTTGTAATTAATAGTATTATAATTGGACAAATGAATGAACTGGCAGATGAAATATGGGAGCAGACGTGTGGAGAGCAGTTGTCTCTCAGGAAGAGACCGACCTGAACTCCAGTAATGAAGGAAAAACCAAATCAGTGGCTCCCTCCCTCCATTAGCTTCTATTCATCCTGTTTGTCTGTTGGCCCGAGACGCTGCCGTCGCTCTTAGTTTACAGCACAAACAAATGCAGCTGATGGAGATTTCTGGTTGCGGAGATAAATACAATCAGTGTAATCCCATTCCGTTGTCTGATCAGATACAAACTCTAATTCATATCTTGTCTCTTCCATTCCTCAGGTTCTGGTGAATCTCGGGGTCGACTGATGCCGCCATGGGCCGATCGCTGGATCTTTGAGAGAAGCCTTCTTCCCCGTTATCACCCCCCCTCCCCCTCCCCCTCCTTCTCTTCTTCCTTCACCCTGCGCAGCTTTAAGTTGAGTCGTCTAGATACTAGCCGTCGGCCTTCGATACGTTCTCCTTCCCTCCATCTTTTAACCATGGCGAGCATCGTGTCTCAGACTCCTGGCCCGGCGAGGCGACCTCTCCCCGTGCTGCTGTTGTGTTTCGCCCCTCTGCTGCTGATGAAGGGCGGGTGTCACGCCGCCCCCTCAGGCCCGGAGTCAGACTCCTGCTCCACCTTAGTCCAGAGTCGCTTCTTCGGCTTCTTCCTGTCATCATCTGTGTTTCCCACCACGCCTTGCTCCTGGACCCTGCAGAACCCCGACCCGCGGCGCTACACCATCTTCATCAAGGTGACCAAACCCACAGAGTACTGCGTGCCGTCGCAGCTGCGCACCTTCCAGTACGACTCCTTCCTGGAGACCACGCGCACCTACCTGGGCATGGAGAGCTTCGACGAGGTGGTGAGGGTGTGTGACGCCTCCGCCCCCGTGGCCTTCCTGGAGGCCGGAAAGCAGTTCCTCCAAATGAGGAAGGGGCCCCCTCGGGCGGGCGCGGCCGCTGCAGACAGCGACTGGGATTTCAAAACAGAGTACCTGGTGGTGGGGAAGCGCAACCCCAGCATGGCGGCCTGTCAGATGCTGTGCCAGTGGCTGGAGGACTGTCTGGCCTCCAGCACGTCCAACCGGCCCTGCGGCATCATGCAGACTCCATGTTTGTGCTGGGAGCCGCCGCCACAGCTGAGCGAGGGGAATACCTGCTATCACAATGGAGTTTACCTGGAGAACTGTTTACCCAGTGTGAAAGAGAGCGGGAGGGACGCCGAGATAAACGGTGAGTGAGAAGCTTTTACACTCGTTTAACTGGGAGAAAATTGACTTCCAGCAGCAGCTCTGTCTAAGATTCATCTGTGCTCCTCTGGGGAAAGATCAGTTTACTGTTGGTTCTGTGTGACCTCAGAGTCACCTTGGAGGTTAGCACGCTCTCAGCACCATGAAAGAGAGATGACTCCTTCAGGAGCAATCAAGCTGCTGTAGATGTGTGTGATTTGTGAAAAGTGAGGATAATGGTATGATACTGGTGCAAAACAAGTGGAGTGAGTGCTCTGGCTGAAGTAGAGGAGGGAAAGATGGACGGAGAGAGGGAAATGGAAGGTTTATGGTTTCATCTGATGAAAACAAGCCCTGTGACCTTGAGAGGTCGGCGCCGTTTTCCGCCCCTCTGTGATCCAGGGACGGACACTCGATCGGCTTCTGGGAAGCCTCTGGAAACAGAGGAGAATCAAGTGCTGATATGTGATAGCTGTTCAGGGAAGATGCTCAGAGCGGGGGGGTTGGGGGTGCAGAGAGACAGAGGAGGATGGTGGAAGGAGAGAGGCAGAAATAAGACGGGATAAGGGCCTGTGGCTCCAAGTTTAATTGTCTGCTGCTTGATCCCGGCCCCCCCCCCCCAGCAGACAGGATGTGGCCTGACATCTCTATCCTGGCTCCGTCAGGACTGTAGCCAGAGGGATGGAACATTTCTTGGCTCCTCTTTCTCCAGCTAACCTTTCCACCATCTATCTCTCTCTCGTTCCTCTGCTTCTCTCAGTCGCTTTCCCCTAATCAGCCTGTGGTCTCATTCTCTCGGCCCTCCTCCTCCTCCTCCTCCTCCTCCTCCTCCTCCTCTGAGCCACCATCGCTGCCTCCCCATCTTTCACACCCCAGGCTGATAGTTGGCCGATACCGAGCCAGTCGTGGGAAGCCAACCAAGCAGAGATGTTGCGGTGGGTATCTCCTGCCTGATCCTCCTCCAGTCTCCAGAGCGGCTAATATCCCCCCCGCTCCCCAGCCCCCTCTCCTCTAGTTATCGCACTTATGTAAGTCAACAGCGGGGTGTGGGCTGTTTGTGCCTCAAGGTGTGAAAAATAAAAAAGAAATATACCCTCACTGTTGGTTCATGCAGAGATAGAGAGAGGAGGATGCTCTCCCTCTCACACGGGCAGAGCGTCTCTGAGATGATAATCAGAGGCTGAGAGTGAGCGAGTGGCTGTGGAGGCTGTGATGAGCTCAAATGGAAGAGGAGAGCAGAGTGTGAATATGTGGCAGGACGGGCGACTGGATGGATTGAATTGGTGGATGAAGATAAAGAGGGGCCGGGGAGATGTAATGGATTTTGTGTGGAAATAGGTGTGTGGAGCCGGTGGTTATGGCCCGCTGTGCAGTGAAGAGGGGGAACAGACGGGTGACGGTGGAGAGTGATGAATGAAGGAAAGACAATAGATACAGAGGAGAGAGACAGATCGGCAGAGGGGAGTGAAGCAGAGTGAGGCAGGCTGACGAGAGCTTGGGGGGGGGGGGGGGGGGGGCTGATGAGGACAGATAGCTGTTGCTGGAGTCAGACCTGTTGGTCTCAGCACCTTCAGTAACAGAGCACTTCATAGATTATAGTCTGTCTCCCAGACCTTCACTCCCTCAGCGAGGGAGGCAGCGAGGGTCCCCCCCCAGCAGCAGATGGAGGGGGGAGTCGCACTGTAAGATGATGGGGTGAGATGAGGACTGCCTCTCTCCCTCTCATATGGACCAGGCTGACAAGAGATTCTGAAACGAGACAGAAAAGTTTCATTAGAGCAGCAGATGAGCTTCTATATGAAGGTTATTGTACTTGTTATGACTAAAGCATGAAACTGTCTCCACGTTTCTATAAACCAGGAAGTTTATTTTCAGATGTGACCTCTGGGAGGGGCAGAGCCCCCTGAAGACCAAACTAACATGTTAGCTTCTGATTGGAGTGTTTGCCAGTGCCAGTCATGTGACTCCATAGAACACACAGCAGAAGTTGTCAGTGTTTTTAACAAGCTATAGCTACCTTAACATCTGCAAATGGGGGGGGGGGGTCCTGCAGCCCCCCGGCAACACTCTAAGCTAAATTAGCAAATTAGCATCTTTATGCAATTTTGGCAAAGATACACATGATTATAATGGAGATTGATGGGGAAAAAAATGCAATGCTGAGGTCAATGACCTCTCTAGGTCACCAGAGGTCAGATACAACCTGCCTCCACATCTGAAATGAAACCTCAGGGCGTGTAGATCATCTGCTGAAACGTTCTTGCTTCAGTCAGAAAATGCACAGTTGGTTTGTCTCTCTGATCCACTCTTTTCTTTTTAATAGAAACTTGAAGTTGATGTGACAGCTTTTATCTTGTAGCTTCATAATCATAGTGAATTTCCACGTCACTTCATGTGCATTTTAGACAAGTGCCCCGAGTTATAGGTCCACAGTAGAAACACAGTTTACCTCCACTGCCCATTATGTAGCAGGGTGGATGGTGAAGGATGAAGAGGCCTGACTGTATGAACAGCTTGTCAGACTAAAATTAACCTTAGTCCCATAAAAAACTATCATTTCAAACCTGACCAGACCTCATTTCACATATTGCAGAAAGCAAATAATCCAGGGTTCAGCAGAATCATCCAGTATGACGCTCTGATCTGGAAGGTGGTTGGGTTTTGAGTTTGGTTTATCCCGGAGCAGTTACAGTTAGAATCTGGAAGGTTTTGTACCTGCAGTTTGTGGTGAGGGGAAGACAAATGTGGTTTAATATGACAGATCACACATAACAAACCACTCTCCTTTTAATTCAGTCAGCCTTTTCCCATCATTCTTTGAGCAGCTGTGATCTGGTTCGATGCTGCACACGGCCTGAGTCAGGAACGGCAGGGTGCAGTGGCAGGTGTTGGTTACCTGGCTGAGGAGGGGGAGGTGGGCGGCTCACTGTGGCTGCTCAGTGGCCGTTGTGTTGTTGATGAACAGTAGCAACACATGCTCAGCTCACTGACAAACACATTTCATTTCCTGTATGTGCTTCATAATAAAAGTCTACTCGTCTTTCTCCAGTTAAAGGCTTTTAATGTGAAGCTGCAGCGGCAGGTTCTGTTTCAGTTACAATACTGCAAATATATAAATATTGTCATGCTTTGATCAGCGGGACAAAGTCTGAATTTGATCTCATGTATTTATTTACTTGAAGGTTTTTCATGATGCTCAAACAAAAAGGAAAGTGAATATGAGATATCACAGCTGTATCATCAGCGGGATCTGGAGCTGGGTGTGTCACCATTTCTCTCTCTATTTGTCATGAGTTTAGCTCATTAGCTACGAAGATGTCGTCTCGCTCTGATTGGTCCACTGTTTCTTCAGCTGGGAAGTGACTGGATTCACAGTTTGTCTGGTCCACACACTAATGATTAATTATAATCTGTTAATCGTAAGTATTAGCAGTATTTTCTGGTGTGGCCTCTCCCCCACCTACATGAATATGATAATTACCATCCTGATTATCATTATTATATATTATTACATTATTAGTTTATATTATTATTATTGTTATTATTATTTTTGTATACAATCAACTCTCATTAGAACATCCTGTCATGCGCACACACACACACACACACCTTTGTCGATTTTATTTTATGGTCACAATGTCTCCTGTCACTTTTTTCACCACTAAAGTTGATCAATACATTGACTTATAGATTCATGGGGGTCCATTATATCCTTTTATTAATAATACAAATGGGACGTTGCCCGGGCGACCTCTGGTTTTGATGTAATGCAGCCCACTTGTCTCCTTTAGTGCGTCAATAGGATCATCAATAGGAAGCTGTTAACCTGTATTGACCCTGACGTGACCTCTGATCATATTCAAAGGATGAGAGGAAGCGTCACATGTTTTTATCAATATCACTCAGGTTTCAGTGAAGAGTGTCAGCGTCTCTGAAAGCAGGAATTCAAAGCAAACATCCAGAAAATGAATTTAATTACAAAATAATAGCAAATATTTGCAGTGAGCTGCTTCAGTCAGTTAATTAATCATGGCTTAATACATTAATTACAGCTAATGAGCAGGAGTCTGTGTTGAACATGTCCACAGCTGACTGTGTGAACACTGTGTGAGAAATCTTTAACCTTTAAGTCGAGAGCGCTGCTGATCTCAGGGCTATTTTTGGATGTTCTGACATTCACATGGTCACAGTGAAAGGTTTGGGCTGCTGGCCACTTCACTTCAGAAACACTGTCCATGATGATCCACTCTGTGGACCTCCAGTGTGTGTTTGTGCACGTGTGTGGACGTGGGGTAATTTGGGTCTGAATGTGTGTCAGAGCGGGAAGGGATTCATTTGTCAGTCGTCAGTGGACAACGGGGAGGCCGTGAGTGATTAGGGGAGATGAGAGGACTCGTGACTCAATCTCAATCACATTCTGAAAGCTTTGAGAAAAAAAGCAGCAGCAGTGAGAGTGAAGCTGAAGGAGGAGGGGTAAACTCCCCCCCCCCCCCCCCCCCCCCTCCCGGGCGGGCGGGGGGGGGGGGAACCCCCCCCCCCCCCCCCCCGTGCTGTGGGATCGTCTGGGTCGTGACCTTGGTTTCACATCATGCGCTCTCACTTTCAGCTTCGCAGCCGTTTTCAAGTGTGAAATATTTAATAAAGCAGAAAAACTGGGAAAATAACCAAACAAGACACAAAGCTCTCAGCAACAAACAGGCCGGGTATGAAATCCACTCTGCTGGTACGAGGCCGTTCTCTGTTTAATGTGCAGGTTCTTTGCACTCTCTGTATGAAACATCAACGCCACTTTAACCAAAGACGTGAACGTGCAGGTCAAACACCTTCTGACACTTCAGTGGCAGAATCTGTCAAAGTTTGGATCATCAAACAGCAACAGCTGGTACATCCATCACACAGTCCTCATTAACTCATAAAGCCATCAGACCAATGAAAAAGCCACTGACGGATGAATGGAAGCTCGTATATAAAATGATTAAAAAGGTGTTACACAATGAATAGATG